GGTACTGTGTCGATATGCGGTTTAAGGTACTACTTGAGATACGTAAACACCATTTGATGGCGCAGAGAGTATGCTAAAAGAGAGGCGAAAGATACAAAAGGGACATTCAAACTCAAAATCGAAAAAAATGACAACGCCATGGCTAAGAAAAAGACCAAAAGACCAACAGACAAACAATACATAAAACACAACATAGAAAACTAAAGACTGAGCTACACGAAATCCACAAAAAAGGGGGGTGATCTCAGGTGCTTCAGAAGGGTAAGCAGATCCTGCTCCACATGTTGCACCTGTCATGTTGCTAATGTTAGTACAAACCCGAGAATTGTACTATTGAGAACAGGGACATTGACATTGTAAAGTTAAAATCATCATAAAACATTTGTCATAGATGTTTGTTTGAAGTCGTCAATCTGTGTCAATATCAAAGAAAAGCAGCCATTCTAGATTCGGGAGTGGCTTTTGTCACAAGCTCACTGGGATATATAAAATTTAAGCACTTACTGAAATGTGGGTTATAGACTGACATAACGTCTTCATATATCTGAACTTCCAATAAGATAACTAGTAAGCAAAATGTTTTAGTCGTTGAGAAGGTTCTGTATTTTCAATTTGAATGATGACTGTAAACACCGCTATGCTACGTTGACTTATGCAGCATTCGTATCAACTTTTGTATTAAACAATTCCCAAACCTCCCTTCGATATGACTGCATGATATGTACATATATAAATGCATGTCTCGTATTTTATTATTTTTGTAATGTATTATGTAATGTGTTATTTTGTTCATTGAATAAACCAAAGCCACAATCATCAATTACGAGTAAATTTCATCTTTACACCTATCAACTGTGTCAAAATACCGCGATTTAATGTCAGCGGTAAATGAAACAACTAACGCACTTCTGCTTTTGAGAACATAATTATTCAAAGGATAAACTTAATGTATATTTCTTTGAAATGTTAAAGTCAAGTTGCAACTGACTTCCCAGTTTTGTCATCTTTTGGGGTTTTTTCGCATCCCAATTTCTTAACTATTCAACTGAAGCACTTTTTTTGCTTCTTATATGTAAAAACTATATCAACACAACCTGCAAACAGAATTACGAACTCCTAAAAAAAAAACAATAAACATCAACACAAGTAATATTTAGTGTAACACAAAATGTTCCCGTTTAAAGTAATTTGTACCTTCATAATTTGTCATCAAAAGGCTTTTATGATTAGCTTTTTCGATTAACGAAGAAAGCATTATATGTAATCTTTGAATAAAATGAAAAAAGAAACATATGTGAGTGCAGCCTTTGAAAAAAAAACAATTTAAACTGCATGCCACCCTAGATCTGCATGTTAGTAGAATTTGCCAGCTAAACACAAAAATAAAAAAATACTGCAATATTTTTTTCACAACCAATCTTAAATTCAAGTCAAATCATTTTAATAGGACTGTGCAAATTTTTAGCCGTGTAATATGAAGTGAAATTAAACTCTTTTAATAATCAACTTTTTTCATATTCCGTCACCGCACTACATGCAAAGGTAGGCCAAATATCCACTGGATTCCTTTTCAACTTTTTTCAAAATAAATTTCAATTCTTACTAGAATTCTTATTATCACAGCTTCAAGAGTGAGCACTTTGAGGTTCTAACAACATCATTTCGTATTTTTTTTAATTTTTTTTTAAAAATGTATACAAAGACTGTTATCAACAATAAAGTATAACATTGAATAACATTTTTATTATAGGAAATATGCAAAAATGCTGGTCTGTTAAAAATATATAATATTCAATCTCGAGTTTTAATTTGATGATCGTGAAATACAATCAACGTCAAACGCTGGACTTCATGCTTCCGGATTGCGACAAGCACAAAAAGAAAGGGCGCTCAAGCACCCATAACCTGGGTAACAGCACAACCAAAGAAAAAATGTAAACTTCAGAAGAGAGGCCTTAAAGTCATATGATACTTCAAAATGAAAAAAAAAAAACAAAAGTTGATATGTTTATTACCTCAGCTGTATTTGGCAAAACTTTTAGGAATTTTTGGTGTTCAATGCTCTTCAACTTCGTACTTTTTTTTGCCTTTTTAACGTTTTTTTATTCGAGCGTCACTGATGAGTCTTTTGTAGACGAAACCCGCGACTGGCGCAAATACAAAATTTCAATCCTGGTATATATGATGAGTTTATTTATATACTTGGATGCCTAATTTTTACTATAAAACAACTGAATGTGCACTTTCTTGTCCGTTATCTTATCAAAATCTTCAGAAATGTCATGATATTGAAATAGTGTCTTCTCGCATTCTAATTTGCCGATATCTTTCTTTATGCAGTAACCTTAACGACCGAGACCTTTCGTTAGAACTTCGGCCACCGCACAGCGCAAGTGCGAGGGAAATCCGTTATGAAAGAATGTAAACAAACGTGCACTGGAAGGTAATTGTAATAGTTGATTCTTAAAGAACAAATTAAATACACCAAATAATTTACAACTGTTATGGAAAAGTTTAATTAACAAATGGGAACGCATGGAAAACAAACAATGTCACCATCCGGTAAACTTCGACAACAGACTTGAAACTTAATTAGCTTCCGATCAATAATCACTGAATTAAATGTTATTTGTCGATAAAACGTTATAGATTCGTAATAAATGTAAAAAGCGTCCATAGAGGACATTATTTAATATATATATATAAAAATAAGATGTGGGATGATTGTCAATGAGACAACTCTCCACAAGAGACCAAAATGTCACAGAAATTAACAACTATAGGTCACCGTACGGCCTTCAACAATGAATAAAACCCATACCGCATAGTCAGCTATGCATGTATTTGTTCAATAATTTTGTTAACATTAAAATTACAAGAAACTCGATCGTATGATTTTAACTCGTAATATCGGTTTTAAGCAAAACAAAATTGACAAAAAGAACCGACTTAGGGTACTCGCACTTACTAAAGATTGTCCAATATTTAAATTCAACAAATCTATAAATATAAATAAGAAGATGTGGAATGAGTGCCAATGAGACAACTATCCATCCAAGTCGCAATGTGTAAAAAGTAAACAATTATAGGTCAAAGTACGGCCTCCTACAAGGAGCCTTGGCTCACACCGAACAGTAAGCTTTAAAGGGCCCCAAAAAGACTAGTGTAAAACAAATCAAACAGGAAAACCAACGGTCTAATCTATAGAAAAAAACGAGAAACGAGAAACACTTATGAACCACACCAACAAACGACAAACACTGAATAACAGGCTCCTAACTTAGGACAGGTGCATACAAATGCAGCGTGTTTGAACGTTTTATCCATGTTTCTTCGAGAATATAAAATCAATCAGTACATCTCAAACGGGTTTAGTGCAAAGACGTCAAAGCAATCTCAGAAAAACATGACACTTTGCAAGACATAAGTATCCATGAGATGTTTAGGGGCCATAAGTGTTAATATGTCAATAGCAATTTTTCTTTAGTTATGGACTACACTATAAGAAATAAATTCAATGTTAGTATCGGAAAAGACAATATAAAAAGATCTTAATACAATTTTGAATTGATACCTTAAAGAAAAAGTTTAATCAAATGACTAGTTTCGTTGTTTGAATCTCAATTTACGAGCTCAATGAACAACATCGTTGTAAATACAAAATTTGATGTATGTTAATAATGAAATTTCTACAAATGCAATCAAGTTCCAAGCAGGATACAAGTTAAAACATATCATATTTTGTTATATTTTTTAAAGATTAGTTGAGTAAAATTACATCTAATTCATTGTTCCAGGTAGACAATTTTCACATGGTGAAGCGACCGTCTTTTTTTTTTTTATCTTACGGCCTGTGTGCCCTTTCTATATTTGGCCTGTCTTTTTTATTCAACCAACCTGCCCTTTTATTAAGCCTCCTTCCTTTTTTTACAACTTCAAAATATTCTATTATAGTCCGCAGATTTATTTCCGTACGAATAAAAAAAAATTTGAACACAATGTGAAAATGAAATTGTTTCATTGAATTTACTTTTGTTATTTCGGCCTATATATGAATATATTGGCCATATATCTTACTTTCCTAATTCTATTCATCAATAAACTCATTATAGATACCATGATTAAAATGTGACAATCCCTTTTTTCTACCAAAATCTTGCTTTTGTCTTCGTGATTGTTATACTTATATCTATCAACTTTTTCGATATTTTTAACAAATTACGTATACCTTATTAAACGTACTAGTATTTAAGATTTGTATAAATATCGTTATGTTCAACGAGCAATTATAGTTATAAAAATAAAAGGCCTGGATAAAAAGTGGTTGGTATTTGAATATATAGAATTGGATGACAAAATAGAACGTATTTTTTCCGAAGAATTATATATAATTACTTGATTGGCCGATTTTTCTCACAAACCAAAATATCAGAACATATCCTATTATTTATTGCTCCAAAAGTTCTATATAAATTATGCAACAAGGCCAAACAACATTTGATCAATGCAATGAGAAGACGTTTAGCATCGGTGATTCATGTGAACGCTGCATTGTTCTTCCCGGTATTGAGCATTGTGTGTTATGTTTGCTGTAACCACTGAAACATAGTCTCGGTTTCTAGAATTGTATTTAATTAAATTTGTTAGTATTCTTCAGGCTATTTAATGCTGTGATCTTAACAGTAACAAAATGGCCTAATTCATATATCTTCGGGGCAATAAATAATAGTGTATATGTAGCAATATTGTGACAAATTAAAAAAGTCAGGTTGGTGGTGGTACTTTATCAGGGTGTATATTGAGAGTGAACCGACGAGAACCTCATCAAAGGCGGAATTAACTCAGGTGTTCTTAGAGTGACATATGTTCCATTGCAATACCGTCAAGGTCTTGTAAAACAATGTTAAATTCGATGATAATGTGTTACTAGCTGATAACTGGTGACGACGCTCTGTGTATTCAATTACGCTGTCTTTTTTCTGAAAGTTTGTTTACACCTTTATTTTATTTTATTCATTTACAAGAGCGTTCAGACAGTTATTTTATTAAATTGCTTTGATTGAGAAATTCATTTGAATAAAGTGGGACATATTATTTGACCAGATGTGCATGTACATGTCATCCCGTTCTGGATAGTTGTGTCACCACTCCCGATCAAACTCCTAAAAATATTATACACATGAATTAACAATAAAGCAAGAAAACAACGCTTTATTTAAACACTAAATACCAGTTTTATAATAAATCAAGTTACACGGAGTTTAACGGAATAACATATCTTGTTTTAGTCTTTTAAACGACGATGTGAATATATCATAATATACCTAAAATTTACATTATTTCTGTTCAACTACTGAACATCAGTACACAAGGAACGGGACATCAAGCCGGTGATTATATTGTATTCTGACGCTATGAATATTAATAAAGCCAATTTTGAAAAACAATTCAAAGTTTCAGATATTCATAAAGCTGCTTCAAATCATAAAACATTTCAATAGATCAAAAGGTTGTTTCAATTCATGTAACCCAGGAAAAGCAAATACAGCTGTATGAACTCAGTTTCTTCCGAGTTAACGTTTAGAGAGATGACTACCCGGTCCATAAACGGCAATATGGTCCGCAGTGCCACGAATTTACTGTATGCCTTAAAATGTATTTTGGTGGTTTCTTTTGAATATGTCACAAAATTGTTTAGTTTAAAAATGTTTTCCTCGAAAAAAAATTATCCAATACTATATTTACGTATTGATGCATTAAAACCTTTTTTTCACTTTTTATTTGTGTTAAGGTGTTTTTTAAGACAAAACCACATAAACGTTCGTAAATATCAAAGACATAATTATCAAAACAATCAATCTGTAATGTCAGATACTGCTTTAAAATGATTATATTCATTAAACATTGTTTCGCATTTTATTGATTTTGTATTTTGATTACTTTCGTAGAGTATGAAACAAAGTTTCTTAATGATGATCTATAATCAGTGCCCTACAGAAAATTGTTTAATCAAAACTTCATAATTTTTTTATCAGCTAGGTCCACCTATAACTATATAAAAAAAAACCTCTGAAGTATTGATCAATGCAATCGAACTGGAAAAATCTCAGAAATGTGTATCAATACCATCTAACTCTATAAAAACACGGAAATGTTTATCAATACTGAGCTCCCTAAAAATTGATGGGACCAAAGCGACGCTGTATAATAGTGTTTGGTATAATGTCGTAACACTACTAGATGGTCCAAAGTGACATGAGATACTAGTTTTTTGTAAATCATAATGTGACAAGATACCCAACTGTGTGTGGGGGGGTGTTTGTTTGTGTGTGTATGTACATTTAATTACTACTTACCCGTCTCCTGTTATACAAAAATCTAGAGCCCCAGCAAATGGATCTAAAATTAGTAAAGTGGACTTTCATTAAACAAACACCTAATTTGACTTAACTATGACGTAACTGCACAACTCAGTTACATTAAAGATTGGTCAATATATAGGCAATTTATTTTGATAACTATTTTTATGCAGACGAATGAAACCATTAATTTGTTTAGAAATTTACATTTTCCTAACCCCTTTGAGGAACCCCTGCATTACGATCTTTCGGTTTGGTGACCATTGGTCAGTTTCGACACAATGATCTTATTACACATTCTTGTTGATCTACGGATCAATATTTTGAAAGCAACATTTTTATTTGGGATTTTATAAATTTTTATTCGTTATTTGGACTTTTACACAGTTAAATGATTGGATATATTTAAGGAAGGCTCTAGATTATTTTTATTCATGCAGTCGTTCGTGCATAATTCGTTTGAACTGATGAATATTGATGATGAGAAGAAACTCTTTCGCCATCTTGGATATATATGTACACGAACATTGTCATTGACTTGGAATATATAAAATATATCGCAAACATTATAGGAACATTGTGTAACAGTTTATTCCACAACAAAAGCGTTTAAGATTATTATTTTTACACTTTCTTTCAACATCGTTTGTGTTTTGACTATAATCCAAAACATCGCAGAAACCGTTGAATGTCGGAATTTATACAAGCTTAATCGGATATTGTTTCAATTGTTCGTTCTCGTCGTACTACAGTTTACATGTACTTATGGTCTCGAAACTAGGAGACAGTTTAATTCACGTCTCACTCGAGCTTCAACGAACGACATAATGTTACATACCGGATTAATTTAGCGCAATATTGTGTGAGTTATAACCGCATGGGTGGAGGTACAGTGGACAAATTGCAAAACAATGCAGCACGAGATTTAAATACCAACATTGTGACATAATACAGTTTTAGCTCTCGGTGATAATTTTGCAAATATAAGGCAAAGCCGTTTAAGGGAAACAAGGAGTTCAACCCCCTGACGGAGCTACACATATGATAAATGAATAGGATTTTGTACAAGTAACAATCCAAACGGTGGCTTGCCAGTGGACAATGGTGCTCCCCTTTTTTTTTCAAAATCTTGGATCTGCACCTAGTGAAAAGACCTGTGTGATGCAAGCTTAAAACCAGATACATTATCATGCTATATTGTTGATTTGATGTGAGTTTTTCAAAGGATTCATAATGTTGTAAATGTTGTTGTTTGAATGGTAGAAGAGAGGAGGATGATAAACATTTGTTTTGGAAAAATTCATGACTTATAAACAGCTCGTTCCCAATCTTTGCTGCAGAAGAGATACACTAATCAGCATTGGGAATTAGAAATACAAATGTATTATAAAAATCTTCGCCTTGCTATACTGTACATTGTGCATGTAAATGTATGTTATGGATTTTAAAATGTAGAGTAATCATTTTGTTTCAACTAATATACAAGTTGAGTTTATTTTGCCAAACGTTTCCAGGACCAGAAAAAAGATACTTGTAATAATAATAATTATGCAGTTTGCAAATTGTGTCTTGTATTTTATCATGCATATCATTATATTTTATGATGGTATGATACTAAACCCCTAACGGAAGGGATTGTGCTTGATTTTCATATGATGAAGACATAATCTTTCAATCAGTTTAATTGAGGTCTGGAGCTGGCATGTCAGTAACTGCTAGTAGTCCTTTGTTAATTTATGTATCATTGTCATTTTGCTTAGTTTCTTTCTTCGGACTCGGACTTCTTTTAAACTGAGTTTTACTGTACGTATTGCTGTGTGTGTGTGTGTTTAATCTACATTGGCTAGAGGTATAGGGGGAGGGTTGAGATCTCACTAAACATGTTTAACCCCGCCGCATTTTTGCGCCTGTCCCAAGTCATGAGCCTCTGGCCTTTGTTAGTCTTGTAAGTTTTTTAAATTTAGTTCATTTATATGTTTAGGAGTTTAGTATGACGTCCATTTTCACGGAACTAGTACACATTTTTGTTTAGGGGCCAGCTGAAGTCCGTCTCCGGGTGCTGGATTTTCTCGCTGTGTTGAAGACCCATTGGTGGCCTTCGGCTGTGTTTTTTACTCTTTGGTCGGGTTTGTTGTCTCTTTGACACATTCCCCATTTCCATTCTCTATTATCATGCATATACTTAAAATAGATAAACATGTGTACAATAGACACAAGTGCAAGTAACATATTCTTCAGCTTCATGTATTTGGTCACAAAAATAGACACAATTTAAAAACCAAAAAAATAAAGACCATACATTTTGCTTATAACAAGTTTAATTCATATACCTTATTGAATATTTATAAAGTTCATGTATTTGACACAGATCATACTTGAACATACATGTACGTTTAAAGAACATTTGAACCATGCATAGATGTATTTATACCATGTATTTGGTAAATGGTATTTACATTTAAAATAGATCATGTATTTGGTCAAGAAAATTTAGAAATTAACCATTTCATGCATGTAATTGGTCACTAGAAATTGATGTTTGAGACAAATTGTATACAATGACCTACAAAATAGAGAAAGACACAATTATTCAGTTTACATGAATAAATATTATATAAAAATAGATAAATAAAAAAATAAGAAAATATACATGTAAACCAAAAATGATAATAACAATAATAATGCATATATTAAACATAATTGTAAAACAAAATTGGCAAGCATGACATGCATGATTAAAAAATCTAGAGACCCAGCAAATGGATCTAAAATTAGTAAAGTGGACTTTCTTTAAAAGAACACCTAATCTGACTTAACTATGACGTAACTGCACAACCCAGTTACATTAAAGATTGACCAGTATATATATATCTTTATTTAGCCTCCGCTAGGAGAAATAGTGATACAAATTAAAACTGAACAGATAAGAAAAGAAAAAATTTAAATGTATTTTACATTGTAAATTAGAAGAGAGAAAATGTTTTGCAAAATTTGTAAACGTAGGTGACGCATAAAAATTAAAACATTTTTTCAGCTCACAGTCAAGTTCGAATTCGGTTCCGCATGACAGTAACAGATAACAGAAATATTCATCAGCTTAGGTACCAAGAAAAGAACTAAAGGTGATCGGGTTTATACATAGTAACTCACACCAGAATTCATCGCGAATGTCGGATAAGTAGTCACACGAAGAGATTGCATGAATACACGGATCGGTGAAAAATTTACCACATTTATCACATAGATTAAAATCAGTGTTTATTGCGAACTAAACAACACAGAGATACTATGTAAATTACCTGTTCACACAAATACGGAAAATCTAATGCAACAGTCCATGCAGGATGAGGCTGGAATATTTTATGTATCTTCTTTATACGTTAAAGTCACTATCAACACGCATGCGTTGCTGCCATTCACTTAGTTCATATTCAAAAATAAAGCTGTAAAATATTCGCTTCCATATACGCTGAGAGCGAAAGTTCTGCTAGACATAAACTGTGTTAAATAGTCCTAGAAATTGTATTTGCAGAGTAAATCAACACAATCATTTGTAAAATCTGATGCACAATAGTTATTCCGTTGATTAAAATACTTTAGTTCGAAAAGTCTATACGTACAAGAATACGAAATGAAATTGTTCTTTGCTGTAAATTGCAAATTCTTACGAAGAACAGTAACTTGCGGTCATTAATAAAACTGTCTAGATTAAACCAACCAATAAGAGGAAGGCACATATCAGTTCTTGTACGTCTAGGCAATCCTTGAATAAACTTGCACACATAGTGATGCGTTCGTTCTAACATAAGTGTTTCTGTTTTAGAGAGCTTGACCCAGATCTCGCATCCGTAAAGAGCTTTTGGGTAGCATACTTGGCGAATAATCTTTGCACACACTATAGGATTATAAGTCACACCATCTTTCACTAAAGCACTACACGCAGTTGATTTCTTTTTCCGACTATTTATTATTGTCCAAACCGTTTTCTGATCAATATCAATGTTACTTTCGATAGTTTTTGCTAAATTACTTTCGTATTCATTAAATGCTTTTCTTGAAGCTGTACGAAAATCTCTTTTTGCAAACGTGTATTGACGAAAAACTCACAGTTAGTATCATGATAGTGAAAATTGCCTATCCATTCACCCCGAATACTGCGCATTGATTCGCGTAAAACTTTAAGGTTGTCATTCCAATACGGTTTCGAGTGAGGACTGAATTTTTTATATGGTAAAGGGTCTTTTTCTGCTTTCTTAATAGCACTGACTAGTATGATTCGATCACGTCGGGTAAAGCTGTATTTGAAAATTGCACCTTCCATAGATTATTTGAAACTATAAAAGTGTAATCCTTTATACAGTTTGTATTTCGTGCGCGTTCCCATGATACAGTTGGTTCACTGGTTTCTACTTGACTAGGAATATGAGATTCCGTTTCTAAGATACATAATATTGGGTGATGATCGGATGTGCTGAATGAATGATTGTCAATTACTTTAGCTTGTTTAACGTGTTGTAATTTTGCATGGTTAACTAATATGTGATCAATACAAGTCGAAGGACTACCTTCATAAGATTGTAACTTATTTACAGGTCCTTTACACATTAATTCTATATTTACTGAACAAAGGTTGTGAGTTGACATCAAAGATTTACAAAGTCTACTTCTTTCGTCATTTTTTATTTGAAACGTCGTACCCATATTTCAGTCAGTACTTGCATTTTTAGGAATTGTTGGTCCACAATGCTCTTCAACTTCGTACTTTATTTAGCCTTTTTAACTTTTTTTTATTCGAGCGTCACTGAGCGTTCGTAGACGAAACGCGTGTCTGGCGCAAATACAAAATTTAAATCCTGGTATCTATGATGAGTTTATTCATATATCCCAGTGAACTTGAAATTAAGGATACTACTGATACTAGAAAGACTTGCTTCATACCTTGATCTTTTCCTCAATATTGACACAGATGGACGACTTTACACTAAAATCTATGACAAACCGGATGATTTCAACTTCCCAATTATCAATTTCCCATTTCTC